CCCCAAGCTGCCGTAGCAGCAAGTCCCGGCTCTGTGCGTTCACGTTTGCCATGCTGTTGTAGCATGCATTTCAGGATATGCCTGCTGGCAGCAAGAATTAGTGTAAGTTGACAGATGTGTTTCCTGTCTTTACAATTACTGTCTGTTTGCTTCCCTCTGGCAGTGCTAAAGACTGTGTGTAGTGTAGTGATACAATCCAGGGTGAGAAGGATGGTTTAAAGCTCAAAGGCGCCAGGTCCCAGAGAACTAGGCTCCAGATGGTGTTCATACACTATTAACAGAATGCTTGACAAAGTCTGAGGAGGGCTGTGCCTTTGGCTGTAGCTCATCTCGCTGCATTAGCTGCTGCTTCTTACTGAAACCGCAAAGAGCTTCAGTTTTGTGAATATTAGAACATGACTCCACCATGAACAATATTCGGTTTAGTACGTACTTTTAAAGATTGGATTTTCAGATGCTTTCGGAGTGGATAGCCAAAGGGAAAGTGTGGTGGTGTCTCCCAGCAGCCAAGCTAGATAAGCCATGCAGGCAGGCAGGATCAGAAATGTACAGGCAGCTGCCTGCAGCAGCAAGTTGTACCAGAAAGAATTTGTTCTTCCTGCAGCCGGTGGGTGGGTGGTTATCTCATTCTGGACATACATGTTTTCCTTCAAGAGCGAATGTCTCTGTTTTAGATTGAAAGGACAGTCTTTGCAACCATGCTGATGTTGTCACTGCTGCAGGTTTGTGAGTGATGTGGGAAAGCAGTAAAACCTTTGTATCTTCCTGCTCGAGGGCAGGGGTGAGGATTAGGCCCTGCCATGCTACCACTTTTCAGTGATGCTCTGAGCCATCGGTATGTCTTCCCTTCACCTCAGTAATGCGGTCTTGAAGCAAAGCTTCGGCTGTAGGCTGACTGCTGATGACATGAATATTTTAGTTGCAGCGTTGTTTTAGATGAACAAGGCAGAGCATTTATTGAAGAATGCCTGCTTTAATGGTGTTCCCTTTCAGTGATGTTTCTCTTCTGTGTAGCCTTTGTGGCTAACCAGTCCAAATCCTCCCATGATCAACTGGCGTGCTGCTTGGTGCAGGAGGAGGAGCTGGGACTCCAGCCAGGATTAGTTTTCTATATCGGGAACAAATTTGCTAGTAATTGGAGATACTGGTTGGCAGTGCTTATCAAGGCTTGCTCTGTCAGTTCCTTGTAGATGATGGTGAAATGCCTGTGCTGTGTTTAAGTGCTGTATTTATATGGGAGTACAGCTACTGGTTGGACGAATTGTACTGATAGCACAGGCTCTGGTCAGAGCTTTGGAAATATTTTGTTTGTGGGCGTTTTGTGGTGATCTTGTCTATCAGAGCTGAGGTACGTGTTAAATCTTTGGAGTCTCCGGGTTACAAAGGCAGCACCCCCCTGCCCTCAGATGAATGAAGAAAAGTCATCATAGCAGTTACGAGAGAATGGGCCAGGCAGCGGAGCTGGGTTTACCCTGGAGATAGCCTGGCTAGGGGGTTTGTATTGCTCTCGGTGTGTACACACAAAATGACAGGCAAGGTGGTTAGCAGTAATTGCATTACACTGTGTCCTTGCCACTTGTGCTGCCTGCGTGCCCCTGCCTCTGTCCTGCCTGCACGTTTGCTGCTCGGCCGCCTGCCGCCCTGCAGGAATCCTACTGAAATGTGTATCGGTCCCAGTGACAACTTGAAGCATGGGGCCTTGCTCCATCCAGAGCTGAAAACCTCACTTGAGTACGTTCAGTAATGCAGCTGAAGCTGTGTGCTTGATAGCTGTATGGTCATGCTTTTAATTACCATTAAAATAATTGGCACCGTGGATACCAGGAGGATGTGAGAAGATCAGAGGCTCAAGGCTGTTTCTCCCGGTGCCTCGGGGGTACGAGCAGCTTTCAGTGTCTGTATAATTAAAAGCTACAATCTTTCATGTGCACAATAAAGAGGGCTGGGAGGTGGGGAGACTTCAGCCCTTCTGCATTTTATTTATTAAACATAATCAATGACCAGTCTCTCTTTTTCACAAAGGTTTTTAGGAAACACTGGTGTTTGACAGCTGTGCTCCAGTATCTTAAGATGCAGAAGTGCTGTTCTTACATTAAAAACCTTGAACTGGCTTGTTATCAGGGATTGGTGTGGGAAGTGCAGTTGTTAATACAGGAGAGCTCTGTTCAGGACACGTTTTTAAACCTCTTCCTCTACTCCTCCCTTTCCTGAGTCCATTTGCACTGAAAAGTCCATCCCTGCCCGTCACCTCAGTCAGATCTCTGGTACTGATCTCGTTTTTCCTTCCTTCATCCATGTCCTGCTCATGCCACTGGTGCCTCCTTCTGCCCAGTGCCGCCTCCCCAGCCTGTGCCTTTGGTGCACTTTGCTGGGTCCTCCTGCGCTGGGCTCCCTTGCTGGCTCCTCCAACCTGCTGCTTCCAACTCCTGTTGACTGTGAGCTGCTGGTCATCTGATGATACTGGTCATCTCTGCTCTGGTTCTCTGAAGTGTATCAAAAGTCCCCCGGGGAAAAATATTTTTAAAAAAAAAAAAAAAAAAGCCCAGTGTCAGGAGTAATGGGTGGTTATTGCAATCTGTGTAGAGCCGCAGTAAACCACTGAGCAGGGAACCCCTAGGTATGTATATGCTACTAGTGCGTTGTGAATGACGATGTAAAATCCACTGGCTTGTGTGGAAGATTTAAATCTTCAGTGCTGAAGGTTTGGTGGGAAAGGTTCTTCCTGGCCCTTTTGTAGGGTGCGGGGGACATGGGACAGGACAGATGGTCGTGTGCCTGCAATCTGCCTGGGAACGTCTGCGTAAGAGAGATTCTCAGCTCCTGTCCTGAGCTCCAGTGGTTGGACAAACATTCCTGTAGCCTTTTCCAGGAAGAAATGAGCAGATTCATTCACATTTTTGTGCATGTTTTCCTGTCTTTCAGCTGCGGGAGCTGGTCAGCATGTGCATATACCCTGATCCAGATCAAAGACCTGACATTGGTTACGTGCACCAAATAGCAAAACAAATGCATGTTTGGACCTCCAGCACATGAACCATCTGCAAACACTCAAGAAGCCAGCACAGCTCAGTCTTACTTGAATTTTTTTTTCTCAGATGAAACCGACTGGTGCCTAGTCACATAAGTGAGAGGGTTGAGCACTCATAGCAAGATGCTCCATTATTTCTGCAGGTTATTTGACAAGGACTCTTACATGGTGGTCATGCTTTAAAGTGAAGATTCTGTGAGGTATTGCAAGTGATTTTTTTTTTTTTTTTTTAAGGCCAATAATGTTACAGATGTAGATCATTTAAGGGTCCTTTCTTAAAACTGTTGTGTGTAATCTAGGATAGATGATATTAACAAGGGTGTCAGAGCATTTGACACACCCCTTCTATCTTAACTGTAATGTGAAATATTGAAATAATTCCTTCAGTGAAATCACTTTATACTAATGTAAGAATTACAGTAGATTTTGTGTAATTTGTATAACTGCTACTTTGCCTCTTCTGCAAATGGTTAATAGCAAATTCAGTTTTTACTTCGTATATTTTAAAGCAGCCATTTATGTGTTTTTATTAATTCCCTCCTCTTCAGACTTAGGAACTGGGAAGGGTTGGGGGGGGTGGGAAACACATTTGTTTCAAGATTTCTTTTTTTTAACTGAAAATTTAGAGTGAGTATTTTGCTGATGCATTTATCTGTTTAAGTTGGCTACAGCCAATGAGATGAGTTAAGCATGTACCTGGGGAAAAAACAAAAAAAACATGCCAAACCAACCCAAAACAAGCATTGCTTCTGCAAATAATTCCTCTTTAAACTTATTTTCCCATTTGGCATGATTCTTTTTAGACTACAGGTTCTTGTTAAAAAACAGTGTTTACCTAAGCCAGCTAGATTTTGGTGAAGATAATTCCACAAGTTCAGTAGTACATTAGGTACTATAGGTAAAACTGACTTAAGCAAAGCAGTGTTTTAAACACTTGGAAATTTTTAGAAAAAGAAATAAGTAAAATGCTTTGTGTATCTAATTCTACATAAGGATCAGCCCCTGTCTATTTAACTGTGAAAGCTAATTTACAGAATGTGAATTTTTATAAAAATCTCAACCTGATTTGAAGGAGTCATCTTCTTTAACTACATGAAAATTTTCAACCAACTAAATTCATTCATTGAATCAATGATTTGTTTCATTACTGTTGATGAAAAATATTCACTGCTTTAGGAACAAACGTGGATTCACGTTCAAGTGTTTCCATTTCATTTGCCTGTTCAGAGGAACAGGGCTGCACTTAACGTTCTTGAAGACTACAGTGGGGGAAATAAATAAGCCTGTACTGTTGCAGCGCTGCTTCCATGTGTGACGGTGGCTAATGCCAAAAATGTAGATTTGTGTGTGACAGTTCTAATGCAGCCTGTGCCTGTTTTTTGTTTTGTTGGGTTTTTTTCTTAAGAAAAGCATACAATCCTTAATTTTTTTGGAAATAAGATTAGGGTTAGAGGGTTACATACATATATATGCTTTTAGTGGATTTTTTTAACCTAATTTGCTCTACTTAAAGGAAAACTGCAGTGCATCTTCAACTATGTCCCATCAAATTTTTAAATATTTATATAGGGTAGCAAAGAAAAGCTATTAATTGCTGTGAATAATGTTGGTATCATTAATACAAGGTACCACTTTATTGAGTTTTCTCAGCAGAAAGTTGAGCCTGCTGCTCTCATGAGAGATTCAGGAAATTCAGATCAGCATGAGAATGCAGTGGAGGCACCAGATTGCTTCCAACATTCCCAGGCAAACTTGTTGAATTTATACCCAGCTTCTTTAGCAATTCTTAGATTTAAGACTGAAGACTGTCACTTTTACACTGCAGCTTTGCTTTAAGCCATGGTGGCAGCTACACATTCAGAGGGATGGTTGTGCTGCGCCTCTCTTGGTGTAACACAGAAAAGGATCTTTGGCTTCCAGGGAAGCTCAGCTTAAATTTGAGTATCTTGAGAAGTCTGGTCACTTTCTTGCTACATAAAATTTATTAGTGCTTATAAGCAAATGTATTTCAAAGGGTAATTTTTTGCAATTGTGCATTTTTAGATAAATAAAAATGATTTACAAAATAAACAACTTTGTTTAAAAAAAAAGTCCAGTATTAAGGAAAATATTATTTAACAAAACAAACCAACCACTGAAAACAGGCCTATGTGTGAAACTGTTCCTAACAGCCTATTATGTGTAGATACTTTTTGAGAAAAATGGGTGAATGGACTATATAAACTGTATCAGTTGTCCCCATGGAAAGGTATATATGATGGTCTTTACCCTCTAGAGCTGGTTTTCCTGGCTGTTTGTTGCAGGATGCTAGGAGTAGGGACTGGTACCAGTTAACCTTTTGAAGCTGACTGTAGATGATATGCCTTCCCTTTTGGCTAAATGAGAAAATTTTGCAGGTGGATTTTCTGATACCCTTTTTTTTTCCCCCAGGATTATGTGGTGCTGTATGAAACAGCTTGAAATGAGTTTATCTCAAATACAGGCTCAGGATTTTAGGACAAAAAAGGTCCAAGTGGAGGCAAGTAACAAGACAACTAGACTGAATTTTGCTGTGTTCAGTCATATAATTTAGAAAGGAAAATGTGTGTACCAGTGTGGAGGCTGGACCTATGCCACATCCTGTCTCTATCCACAGAGAACAGTAAAGAATTAACTTAAACATCCCACAATAACCAGTGTTACTTCCCTGCAGTAACATAGGTAGAAGCAGTCTGCTGTAGGTCAAGGTCAGCAGTTCAGAACCACCAGTACTCACCCTTTTCCTACCATTTCTTTATCTGGTATGTATCCATCAAGAACAGAACATTATGTTAAATTTAAACTCATCACTTTATGTGCAAGCCCAATAGTTTTACTCTTGCTCTTTTGTTCCTGGAGTAAAACAACAAAACAGCTGCTGTGCTTAGTGGTTTTTCTGCCCCAAATGACAGTACAATGCTTGGTATCTGCTCCAGGAGCCTGGCTGTCTTCCCCATGTTAATACAGATCTTTTAGGGTAAAGCCCACAGCACTAAAAAGAGTGGGGAAGAGGCTGCACTTGTGTTCTGCATGAGCCTTACCTTTTCAACACTGTAAAAAGGAAAAAGCAGCAAAAGAAATGAGCACCATGTAAAAACACTAATTAGGAGAATGGTCAGAACCCTCTTTATTCTGTATCAGCTGCATGTTTCTCTTGATGCTGCAAGGCTTCTAAACATAACTAGTGCTGGGCTCCAGTGACACAGAAGGGCTGTGTATGATGGTTCAGGAAGTGTCCATGGTTTGTACAGTTTCATCCACAACCTCAATTTCCAGGAGTGCTACATTTTCTGTGAGAATAGCAGTAGTTCCCTTTTCACACTTGTATCTACCATACCTGTTAAAGAAATAGGTGAAAATTAAGCTGGAAGATGGTACTACATAGGCAAAGTCTCATGTACAATTTTAGAACTAATCAGTTTTTCTCTAGAAGTTTCCTGTAAAAGTCCAAAGTAAGTAAAGGAACTGTGCTTACTGCAGAAATCTAGACTGATTGCAATAACTGGTAAGGGTTCAGATTTCCTAAAAATGCTAGTTTACATACTGACTTAAAAAAAAAGTTACTTTATAGAAGTAAGTGTGATCTTATTATAGCACAGGACATTCTTGCTGTGCACTGTCACTCAAAGAACAAGCAATTTATTTACTTTTTGCAACTCTATAATAATTTCACCAATGTACTAGCTTTGGATTCTGTGCTAAAATTAGCTAACATTTAACACAAAGACTGCTAGTAATCAAGCCATGTTTGTGAAATCTTAACTGCATCCAACTAAATGAGTTGTCACCTTTTCACCCATTTACAGAGCAGAATCTAAAATCTCACTTTAAATGTGAAATAAAAACTCTCCTAGCTGACTACCAATAGACATTTCTGCTCAGAATGAAGTGTTATGCTTATGGAGTTGTACAGTAAGAAATCCAAAAGACCTTAACTGGAGCAGTGCAATTCATTGTGGCTTTGGCGATAGTTGTCTACATTAAAAAGAAGGGAAGAAGCAATTTCTTTAAATTCTACTATTTTTGCACAATTCATTACACATAGCATAAAAGTACATACTGCAAAAATCAATCCTTTAGCTGCCTTGAGGGCTGTGATTTCCCTGATGAGGCAATGTAGTTCACCAAGCAACATATCTGAGTGTTCAGAATTAAAATTTGCCAGCTCCTCTAACACTCAAACACTTGAGTCCTGTGTTCAGTTTTGGGCCCCTCACTACAGGAAAGACATTGAGTTGCTGGAACATGTTCAGGAGGGCAACTGAGTTGGTGAGGGGCCTGAAGCACAAGTCTTATGAGGAGCAGCTGAGGGAACTGGGGCTGTTTAGTCTAGAAAAGAGGAGGCTGAGGGGACACCTTATCACTCTCTACAACTACCTGAAGGGGGGTTGTAGTGAGGTGGGTGTTAGTCTCTTCTGTCAGGTGGCTGGAGACAGGATGAGAGGAAATGGCCTCAAGTTGAGGCAAGGGAGATTTAGGTTAGATATTAGGAAAAATTTTTTTACTGAAAGGGTTGTCAAACATTGGAATGGGCTGCCCAGGCAAGTGGTTGAGTCACCATCCCTGGAGATATTCAAAAAGCAAGTGGACAGGGTACTTCAGGACATGGTTTAGTGGACATGGTTAATGGTTGGAGTCAATGATCTTGAAGGTCTTTTCCAACCTAAATGATTCTATGATCAAAGCAATGTCTGTGTTGTCTTAAAAATCCACCATAGGGCATGTTTTCCAGCCACTGGCTAGAGGGGGTCTCTAGAAATAGAATAAAACACAACCTGGTAGTCACAGGCTAGAGTTGTGGCGTTTTCTCTTGGTTTTTCATTTTGTCCTGCAGTGAGTTTGTATATAGTGGCTAATGACAGGCTGTGCTGCCTGAGACTGCTTTTTCAAATCCCCACGCTAAGATTATGCAGAACTGCAGGGGGTACAGTGATGCCACTAGTCTTTCTGACACCACACAAATTTCAGCAAGAACATGGCAGAACAAGACTATGTTGCTACCTGATAGCAAAAGAAACTCAAGTTACCTGCTCAGTCACAAATGTGATACTTGATTCCTTTCTCAAACTGCCTGGAACTCAAGAGCAGCCTCTTGGCATGGTAAAGCTGTGGCAGGTAAGCAATTCATTTGTTTCCTTCACACATCTGTATGTGCCACTAGCAGCCTCTACTCAGCTGCAGGTACAGCCACTAATTTTGTTTTCTTGTTTAGTTGAAATTCGTAAAGAGATCTAGAGATTACTCTGACAAAATTCAGTATTATGGAAAATGGGAATTGCTGGGAAGAACATGGATAAGGCACAGTTTCAGGAATACTAACCTGTCCCCCTTTCTGTTGGACACATCATATGGACGGAGAAAATCCAACTTGTTCTTGCTTATTACACAGATATCTATGTTGCTGCCAGAGCCCAGATCATTGTATATGCCAGCTGCAATGGCATCTCTCACCAGCTGTTTGGCTTCCTCTTCCTGGAAAAGTTAAAAAAGCTGTCATTGCACAAGTGTTGGCATTTCACAGAAATGTTTGTCTGTGTGACAGTGGAAGCTGTGAGGTCTCAGAACAATAAATGAGATACCAGCACCTTTTTAATCAAAGTACTGCAGAGCATTAACACCAGTTCTGAGCAGTGGGACTATCTATAGGACCACCTTTTATCCTGCTCATGATCCACCACCCCCCAGCACAGATCACACTTAGTAAAGACAGTCAAGGAAGCAAAATTAAGACTTTTGTCTTAACGACTGGAGAAAATAAATTTTACAAATTTTTATCTTCCAGGCTTTTGCACATGGGTACAAGTTCTCTATGGTACCCTCTGTGTAACAGCTGCATACAAGTTAAAGATTCATACTAGTTTAGTTACATAGGGCCTATCCCTTCCCTACATAGGGACTATTTAATCATAGTCTGTAGTAGCAAAATTATTTCTATGATACTGTAACTTAGCTTGGTTTGCAAAATTTGTTCAGCTCATCTTAACAGTAACTGTGTTGCAAAGCAGCCTTGCTCTGTACTGAACTGTAGCTGGCTAATATTTTTACCTCCAGTCCTGAACACAAGTGCAGAGAATTTAAAGAAACCTGCTGAAAATACTGGTCAAACTAGGTACCTCTATCAAAATACTGCAATTTGTAGTTCAGTTCTTACCATTTAAGTGAAAAAACAGAAAATTTGCTAGTTTTTCTGCTGTACACTTCAGAAATTCCATAGGTAACTAAAGCAAAATAGATATTTAATATAGTTCATTTAATACATACTGTATTTATATATTTCAAAAGCATGTGTATTTCTGAATTACTTTGTACAACTAGTAGAATTGTATTTGCAAAACTAGAATAGAAAACTGGAACAGGAAATAAGGCTCCCTATTCTTATTGCTTTGAAACCATGCACTAATCCTGCAAAAGTTAATGTTTGCTTTCTTGCAGGTGTTACATATCTACCTTCTTTTAAAAGGGCAAACATGCAGCTGCTGAAATACAAGTGCTGCACCTACTTGTGAGAAATTTACTCTTTGGAAGCTGTCTAAATAGCTTGAAAGTAAGTGCAATAGCATCTATGTCACACAAACACAAGTAACATTCAGATGAGTGCCTTTTTCAAGAAAACATTTCAAATTCATCAAACTCTCCATTAAAGTATTACAACAGATGTGTAATCATCTTCATTCCCCCCCCAATAAAATGCATGAATGGTGTCGATGTGAAAGCATCAGAAATACAAGTTTTTGATACACCTGACAGCCTTTACTAGACAAGAGGAGGTTATTACAGCTGCGCTGGCTCCCTCTACAGCTCCCAAGCAGGGCTTATTCCTATTTCAAAGGCAGCTTACCGAGTATCACAGATGAGATCCAGTGCTATTATAAATAATCTGACACAGCCAGTAAACCCTTAATTTTGCACTGCAACTGAAGATGGTGAGCATGAAGAAGTGTTGCAAAACAACTTTCTTGATGTATCATTTTAAATCTTGTAAAAACCAGCTACAGGGATCTGATCTCAGTACCTACACATGCCAGTCCTTACGACAAGACACACTACAGCTTGACAAAGCCCCACAATTCAGCCTGGGGGTCAAGTCCTCTGTCCTGCACCTCTTCCCATGGCTCTGTATTACCCGCTAAGAGAGACAAAACCAACAAGGACATGTCCTGCACCCTCTGCTCCTCTGAAGCCTGTACAGAGGAAGCACTAGTGCTCCAGTGACCTGGCGAAAGTGTCAGAATGCAAGAAAACAGGCTGTGTGTGTCTGTCTCTACACACACACAGACACTGTAATCTTTTCAGTAGCCTCCTGAGTACATACCAGAGCGTGTAAGACACCTTAATTTTTCTCAAAGGTATGAAAACTGTGACTAGAGCATGCCTGTTCCAGTGAAGAAAGACTCAAACACGTCTATGAACACAAAAATTTGGACTCTGTTTTATCCTCAAGTCATTTATGGCAGTTGCTGCTCAGCTAGCCCAACACGATCATAACTGAATGCTCAGTTTACCCTCATCACTCATCACTGCTTTGCTGGTATTTCACACCTTTGAATAATCTTCTGCCACTAGACATCATGAACTGAAGAGCAAATGTTCAATGCCGATTTCAATAAATGCAGCTTTTTAAGATTTACTTAATTTTAAAGGCCTCCATGTCTCCACCGCTATCCTGCCACATGAAAATAATGATGCTAAAAGATCCACAGCCCGCTCCTCGAACCCCTGATGCAGACAGCAGCTGCAGAAGCCCCAGTGTACAAGTGCAGCTGAAGAGGAGCCCAAAATTAGCTCAGCTACAGTCACGTCTGCTCCCAGTGCATACTCTGCATTCTCTGATGGCCCTCTTAAAAGAGCTTGTTAATAACAGTATTCCTGTCCTAACAGCTTAATTAAGGTATTGACCAGGAGGGGGGCATTTTTTTCAGTAAACTATAGAAACAGCATAAATTCCTATTTCACTCTCAGTTTCATTAGTATACTCTTGAAAGAAAAAAATTGAATTACACTTTCTACCAAGCTGACTAGAACAATACAGCCATGCTGTAAAAATAATTCCTGTACCTTTCTTCAGTGTTTTTGGTAATAAAACTCTGAAAAGCAAGTATTTTCTCATTCAACTGATAGAAGACTACTTTCTGATTTGTTGTATGCTAAGGGTATTTTAGTGCTATAGTGGAAGTAAATATACTAAAATAAAAAAGAATGTATAGGTATCTTTTAAAAATTAAGCAGTAGCAAAGCCAGAATAATTTTAAGCTATTATGCAAGTGTTAGTATAAGAAAAGCACTGCAGCTTAGGAAAACTAAAGCAGCTTAGTGGATGTTTGTTCCCCTCTCCCTTTAATTTTATCTTTTTTAGACAACAATGTAAATATCGCAGAGCCCTCTCACTAATTTAAATTTTATTTCCTTTTTAAAATGTACTCTATCAACCCAGTGTTATCAAAATAGGTCTAAAAATATCCAGTACAGCCAGTAGAGCTCAGTTGTAACTGCACGAAGGCATCCACTACACTGAGAAAGTCTAAAATGTAATCTCGTCTCTTTCATGCAGTGCAGCCTAGTTCATGAACCTGGAATAGTTTTAATTTTAGAAAACCCTGCTTCAGTGCTGTTTACTCCTCCTCCTCTTTTCATTATTTAGAAAGATGACCAGAATAGCCACAAGAAAAAAAACAACCACAACATTCCTTGATAGAGATCCTGCACACGCAGTTCTAGCAAGGACTGCTATTTTACAATCAGAAAATAGGGGGTTAGCATGAAAAGTGCTGACATGGTCTTAAGTACAGGGGCATGAATGAGTCACTGTAATAATTAATCTTAAAAAAACCCTAAAAGTTCAGAGTATATAAAAGGAGCACTTCCTGCTTTACGGTTGCAAAGACCAAGCTAACTGGGAATATCATTCTCTCGGGTCCACGCTGCTTCTTAAATGAGATTACAGCAAGAGTGATGCACTGTAATACAAGTCAGTTGTGACAAGCAGCACTTTATAGAGCTATCTGTTTGTCTCCATCACCACATCACACAATGTGTCCCAGGACTCCAATGTGCAACTCCATTTACCACTACATGACAAATGGGCAGCACTTGTAAAAGGCGCAAAGAGGTCCAGATCAGCCGTGTAATGGTCACCACAGATGTACTGTAGTGCTTGAGGGGGGAAAACCAGACCCCCAAGTTCATTAAAGTGACCAGTAATGGATCTTTCAAAATGTGTCTTAGGAATAGTACAGTAAAGGCTAAAATAAATAACTCAGCATGGAAGGCTAATCTGAAATGGTGTTTGATAAATTATTTATAACACAGACAATTGTCTGCATTTAATATTGGTGCTACTGGTAGCATCTTTAAAAGATGATTTATGTGTTGTAATGCCATTAAGCTTTATATGGGCCCACTGCTAGCTATAAAGTCTGCTGAGATTTAGAGAATGAGTTTTAAACTGTCACTGCAACATCATAGTAGATAGAGCCTGTATTAAATCTTTACTTTAAACCTGTTATCTAGAGAGTTGCATTTTGTAGACACTCAAGAACTGATAGATTACCTCTCTACAGCTGCTATGCTGCAAGTCCCAAACAGCACCAATAAGGAACTTTTACACATTACTCTTGTATATGACTTGAATCAAGTTTCTCTTCTCACTTAACCAATTTCTAGATTTCAAATGCTACTGAAGGAAGAAAGAAGAGAGACTTTGCTACAGAAGATGTGGATATTTCTACATCATATGAATGCTGTCTTTACTAATAGCTTTTAAACAAGTTTATCATTATGCTTCCAGCAGTAAAGGGAGCAGCTGGAACAGCTTTGTGAATATTATTTCCTCAACATTTTGTAACTTTGCAAGCAAGTTAAACGGGAGATGCCTTTTCCAGACTTAAAAACTGTAGAAAGGATTATTTTTTTTTAAATCCTTACCAAAGTGAAATGAATACCTTCTGCAGGTCACCAGTATGCTGTTAGATAGGCAATACATAATGCAGTTCTCCACTAGTAAGTATTATCAAAAATTTGAAATATAGTGCACAATGAATATTAGTATAGAATGAATATGATAGTAACAGTTTTTGTAAAAATAAAAAATTCAAATACTTATAACTGTATTTTACAATAGAATAAAATTTATATAATATATATAACAGAATTCCAATTATATAATGTAAAAAGTTGATCCTATTTTGAGAATCTACAAGACTCGTGGGAAGAGAAGGGAAAAGAAAAAAATCAGAAGCTTCAGGAAGGACAATGATACTAAAAAAATAAATCTATAAAGGAGTGTTGGGAATTTGAGGCTAGGAAAGTGATACCTCTTGAAGGACATAAGCACCTACAGAAGCATAATTAGACTTTGGAAGAGTAATCAGACTACAACATGTGAGAGGATGTGTAAGTCTGCCTGTTGGGAGAAGTTGTGGTAGAGATCAATATGTAACTGGAAGCAATGCTAAAATCTGCTGGCTAAGTCCAAA